AGAGATCTTGCCAAGAGGTCTCTTACATAAATCTTGCCAAGAGAGCTTTTTAATAGAGAGCTTGTACAGAGATCCCATAAAGAGACCCAGGCATGAGATCTCTTATAGAGATCTTGTCCAGGAGGTCTTGCCAAGAGACCTTTGCTCTTGTCCAGAGGTCTAGCCAAGAGATCTTTTAAAGAGATCTGTGCAGAGAGAGCTCTTATAGAGCTCTTGTACACAGATCTTGCCAGGAGACCTCTTATGGAGATCTTGTACAGAGACCTGCTGAAGAGAGCACAGGTCTTCCTCGGAGATGATTTATAGATAGCTTGGACAGAGGTCTTACTTTGATATCCCTTACAAAGATCTTCTGTGGAGATCTCCTATAGGCACCTTGTACAGATAGCCTTACACAGGGATCTTGCACAGCAGCTTCTACAGAGAACTTCTCAAGGACATTTTGCGCACGATCTTCTACAGAGATCTTCACAAAGGGAACTTGCAGAATCTGACCTGGTATCTCCTCTTTTCACTACTAGGGTCGCTCTGGTCCTGCTATCTTGCAGCCACTGATGATTGTAGGCCCTTTCCACTTTTCCCGTTAGAATCCTAACTACACAGTCTTTGGGGTCTCTTGCCGGTATAAGTCGATTTCTTGGGACCAGGTTTGTGGAACTCAGGATGACCAACTTGAGTAAAGATTTCAAATTTCAGCTGATGCCAATCTTACTTTCAAGTGAATTTCCTTTTAAATCAAAAGAAACTTCTCAGGATTGGAAAGGATTTCAATTCGTTTGAATCTACTTTCAATTGATTTCCATTAACAGCTTCAATGAAATCTAAGGATTACTCAAGATTTTGTTCAATTCGTTTGCATCTACTTTCAGTTTATTTGTTCTATAACTGATTTGGCATCCAAGGAGAAGCAAGGATTTAAATATGTTTCCGTCTACGTTTTGTTGAGTTGCCTAGCGGTTAGGCACGAAGGACACAGAAGCGTTTTGACCAAACCATCTTGGGTCCAGATTGCAACAAACAGTTTTCTCCAAGACCCAAGAGAGCAAAATGCGTCTTTCAAAAAGAAATGCCATGTTCACCGAGGTTGCGATAATTTCAACTAGTTTTCTCCAGCTTTTGGAATTTCACCAAGTTTTCACCAGGTTTTCACCAAGTTTTCACCAAGTTTTCACCAAGTTTTCACGAGGTTTTCACCAGGTTTCAGAATAGCCCTGAGGTGGAGAAAATTGCCGTAACTTCACTGAAACATTCACAAGGTTCTGGAAAATTCACCAAAGTTTTTGACCAAGTTTCCAAATTTCACCAAGTTTTCACCAGGTTTTGGACATTTCACATGTTTTTCACCAACTTTCGAAATTTCACAAGGTTTTGGCTTTATATTTCGCCCTCAATTTCACCGCCAAGCGGATAGCCTTCACAAAAAAATATATATTTAAACATGTCAAACGCTTCTTCAATCAACTTCACCAAGTTTTCGCCGGGCTTTGGAAACTTCACCATGTTGGAATTTCACCAAGTTTTCACCGTGTTTTCTCCAGGTTTCCACCAAATTTTCGCAATATTTTCGCCAGGTTTTCACGGTTTTCTCCAGGTTTTACTTCACCAAGTTTCCACCAAGCTTTAAGTGGCAAGAAGGCAGCTGGTTTCCAAAGAAGCGTTGTTTTCCCTTTCATGTGATTGCGAAAAGCGTAAGACGCGTCCTCTCTGTATTCCCGAAAGCACAAAACGCAAAGTAATGATTTTTGACTTTCAATTGGGGGCGACCAGGCTGAACATATGCTGTGGGGCCCATGTACAGCAATTATTTTGGAAGCAGCATGTCGGGTCGGCATGTTTTTTTCATTTTGGTTCGCACTTGTTGGAGCACTGCCTGTGCACATTCAAGGTCCCTTTTTTAAGGCCGAGCTCTTTAGTGACGCGCGGTTCTGTGTTATACTCACTGTGCTTTGCGCCTTTCCCAGGTGACTTCCATGATTCGGCCAGACACCAGGCAGCGGCCCTGCTCTTTGAGCCCAGAGACACTGGAAAAAAGTACTATTTTATTCGTCTAGTATTGGGGATGATATACGTAGAATAAGCCAATGTAGCGCGACTAGAAAGCAATCTTTCATGCCAGTCCTACGTCATGCGTCAGTGTTAAAAATCTCACAGATCATGCTTCAGAGAATTGCTGCCTCCACCTTGCGTGGGTTCTCGATTTTTCATGTGCTACCAATGTGTCAAGTGTCTGACTATTCGGAGAAAATTTGTTTTGGAAACAGCTTCAGCTAGTTTTAGCTAGATCCTACCCAGTAAGTGGTCATTCCAGCCTCCCCAAACAAGACAGAATCGAAGAGAATCTGGAACACCACCCGCCCAAGATCAACAAGACTTTCTCAAAGGCTTTCGATGTGGGTGCACAGTCACTCTATAACCCAAACATTTTCTCTTAACACAGGGGGTTTCTTACAACTTGTTCCCCCTACCTTTTCCTCGTCGAGGCATCATATGGGAGCAAAGGATGTTTGATTTTTTAGCCTTGTACCATCATGTAACCTTCCACAGGTGTTTAGATTCTTATTAACACTTTTTTGTACCACCAAGACGTCTCTCTAAAGAATACAGGGGTCGGACAGGAGTCGAAGGGGGGGTCATAGGTGCTTTTACTTGGTTTGGGTATTCTTCTATTTTTTTAATGGTGATCACGATCCTAGTAGACAGCGCAAGCCCCCTTGCATTAAACGGTTCAAGACGATTATAAGAACAGCTTGTCCCCACTTCCATGTGATGCGCGCAGGGCTTGCTGCAGGGGGACGTCATTGAAGACTTCTGCGCCAAACTCCTTGGCACGTGGCTTGTCAGAGGTGTTGTGTTGCACCGCCAAGATGGTTTAATGCCGCTGCAGGCAGAGGCGGTTTGATTTCTTTGGTTTCCATGAAGTACCAGTTGCATTCTCTATAAAGAACAATTTCGAGTTTGGCGCTCGCTTTGCTTCAGGAAATTGAAAGGTGGCATCAGGAATGTTCACCGGTTTCCAAAGAAATTTGGCATTATGTTGCTCAACACCTGCAATGTCCAATGCTTCTTGCAGACATTTCTCCTGTAAGTGCCCGACATGCGCATTCCCTTGTCAGATGTCGATGCTGAGTGCTTGGAAATAAAAACCGATTTGTCTTGCGTGTACTGGGCGCATAAAATGCGCAGATGGGAAGCACTTTTATCTTGGAGGCTGCAACCCTGACCGCCAAGGTCAGTGCCCAGGTCCATCTCCATACCGAGAAGATCGCCAGAAAGGCGCCGCGTTCCGGAACAGTGAATGTATAGGTCGGTGTTGCTGCAAGCAACGGACAGCTGGGCCGGCATCTGCAAGTGTGAGGTTTTGATTTTGGTTTGAGAGAATGGAGCCGAACGAAGTTTGCGTTTGGAAAATTTGCCAAATTCTGGCAAAACATGCAAAGATGTGTATGCCAATGATGAGATGGCAGGATACTGCAAATGGAGCATGGGTCACCTTGGGAACAAAAGTACGGGGCCAATTGCAAAGGATTGGTGCACAGTGACAGGGCCATAACAATATATTTATGTAGGGCTGGGCACCCAAAGGCTGAGTGCTGAGATCTCAAGTTCTAGCTCCCCTCGATCCATATTGTAGCATTTGTTGTACTACAAAGTGTGAAAGCAGGGGATCCACCAATTGCCCAGCAACAAGATTGGAGATGAGCATGTCCAAACATTGGTGGTCCTGGTCTCGCTGCGGGCCTGATTCTGTAGGAATGAGGCGGGGACGGGTCTGAATACAGCATGTGGTGAGGTCGTTGCACAGCTTGGTGGCGCTTGGGGAAGAGGCCTTAAGGCCTGGAATTGGCGGGGGTGGCTTGATGTGCTTTTTGTGTGTTTTCTTTTTTCCCGAGACGCTTTCCAAAGCCATGTTTCCAAGCCTGGAAAATGCTGATGATAGCTTCGAAGGTGCCAGGAGCAAACGCAGAGCACAGGCTCGCATTTGATTTGGTCGTTGCATAAAGCTGTGGTTTCCAAACGTTGCCAAGGAAAAGTTTGTGGGTTAAATTCAGCTCGGTTGACAATTTTTCAGCTGGATTTGATTTATTACCAATGCAACTTAAAGCTTCTTTTTCAGACATTGCAATGAAATCCAAACATCATTGCAGAAGTGGGAAATCGTTGCTTCCATCAACAGGGTTCTGCGTTTAAGCTGTTTTAGTGGCTTTTAGTCGTGCTGAACAATCCTTCGTGCTGTTTCTGGCATGTGTACCTTGGTGAGTTCCAAGTTTTCACTCTTTAGACGGGCACTGTCACTATCATTGTGTTGCTCAACGGCAGCAGCAACAGAAGCAACAAGCAACAACCACAATCATCATCACAACTACGCCCACAACAACAAGAAGAACAATCATTCTAATCGATCTAGTTGGGTCGGAAGCCTTCTAATGTTTGCTGCCCGCGGCCGGGTCCCAGTATCTTGCCGCTGCTTGCAAATCCGATTAGGAAATAAAAACATCATGTGTACATTCTGCAAGACCATGTTGCTAATGATTGCCGACCTTGTCGGGCAGTAAGCTTCAAAATTGTTGGAACTGTCCGTTTGGTTCCATACGTTCCTTCAAAACTGTGCTGCCATGTCCCCGAAATATGTTAGTTGATGAGTTGTTTGTTGGTTTCTTGGCCAGTTTTCATTGCCCTTCTCAGCGTGTCTTGGCTCAGAAGGGCCGGGTCTTGAGCCACAGCTTTGCCAAGCATGAAAGTCAGCAGGTCTATAGATAGGGCGCTGTAAGCTCGCACGGTGGTTCTTGCGCACGAAGAATGATTTTCATAGTGCGGGGCCAGAAATCCATCCACAGATTGTTTGGCCCTGCTGGAAACAATGAAAAGCCTTTCATTTTGACATGAGTTTCTGCAAGGTAATCGTCGAAAATAGTTTAGAGCTCAAGGCGCTTAACTCTATGATAGGTGTCATCACTACTTTTGCAATGTTGTGAGTAATTACCATCGCCTCGTTGACCGACATGGCCTGGCCACTGGGCGCTGGCGGGTGCAGTCTCGCTGTTGATTTGCTGCAGCTCGTCTTTTCATCATGTCATACCAAAGCACACCAGAAGCTCTTGCTTGAAGCGATTCTTGGCAGCTACATGCCAATTTTTTGGAACCCGCATGGTGCAGGCCCTGCTCCCCCAAGAGGTCCACAAAGACTATCGCGTTGGGATGGCACCCAAAAGCTTTGAAGATCCTGATATAACAATCCCCTATGGAAAACATGTTCAGGCCCCGGCTTGCAAAATTTGCCCCTTCTTGAGAACATGTACTTTGCTTTGACTAAGCTGTACAGCATCTGCTGGCCTTTGGCGGGAAGGATTATGCACCTTTGCATCTTCCGCTGCCTGACCCTCAGGTCTGCCCGGCCCGGGCCTTTGACACCGCCAGCGGCGCGGGCACGGATGCCGCCAGCGCGAGTGATCATGAAATCTGCAGGTTGATTGGGTCATGTTGGCAGTAAAGAGACACAGGCACTTCTGTTGTGTCGAATGGCACGGTGCTGCCTCTTACCCAGAATGAAACCATAGAAGTTTCAATATCTTGTTATCATTCTTGTCTGTGTTAATAAAACTATACTTGTAGCGATCTTTTAACCTGTAATGTCTTCTTTGTATCTACATATGCGCATGTGTAGTTCAAATAGTATCTTATAACCTGTCGGAACATCACAATTTTGCCCTGGCATTGCTCAGTATCCAAGGTGGTGCCCATCATCAGCCAATTTTTCATTCATATAATTGTGAGGGTTAAGGTAAATATATTTCAATTTCATGGGATGTGTATGCGCAAACCTATATCTTCGGGAGCACCGCCTTGTACAGCCTTCAAGCAAGCCGAGTCGGGAAAACATGCGTGCTCGTATTATGCATATGGTTTGTTTTTCAGTGAGGGGCCCAATGGTTTCAGTTTGTTCAACGTTATTGCCTTCACACATACATCTGGCTTCCTTCTTTCTCCAGTTTGCTTTCTTTGTCAGAAGCATCTGGATTGCTTAAACTTAAACCTTATTTACTTTTTCTTTTTTATTTGTTGTGTAAAATTATGTGTGCCCGCGTAATCTTCATTTGCAGCGGTGAACCTTTCTTATTCCTGAACCCCCCACTTTTTGCCCTGAGATGGCTGTGATTTGGCAGTGCGGCCGCATGACGGCCGCAGTGTGGGCCGCTTCGGGTATCGCCGGCTGACCATGGTGGAACGGAGCGCCAGTGTGGCGGCAATTTGGCGTGAAGAGCTGTCATGCCATCAAGCAGTAGCAGTTCCCCCACAAACTCTGCAATCAGCTTGTCAACTTGGGGGATAGCTGGCTTTGCACTGATGGACAGAAATTTGAAATCATACAGGCCACCTATAAATGGTTGTATTGCCACTGCCAGATTACACTGCATGCATGTTCTTTCCTAGTGGCACATTGTGACTTATTGACGGCATTTGATCAGCAATGCTGGGGGCTGGGGGCGCGATGGTGGCTATAACAGCTTGTATTTGATCAGCACTGCTGGGGGCTGGGGGGCGCCATGGCGACAAACTGTCAATAACAGCTTGTAAAAGAAGCATGCTGTGATTTCTGATTTCACGGTTTTGTTTGGTGGTTTTCTGATTATGGCCCAGCCGAATTGCCTTCTCTTGGTAGAGGGTGAAACGCAAAGGCTTAACAGACCACTGAATTCTGGATACTTCAGACCTCAGGTTGCTCTCTTGTTGGTTTGGTTGCTGTCAGTCCCGCGTGGTCCGTGGCATCGCGCAGCTGTTCTGGTGAAGAACAGAGTCCATTGGTTGCTTGACGGGCGTTGAAGGCGGCAGGTTGGGAGCAAATGATGGGCACCCAGGGCCTTCAATTTGCAAAAACATTTCGAGCTGATTACCATTTTATGAAGCATCTCAGTTACTTGTTGTTGACCATTCTGACATTTGCAGGGGGTGTGTCAGCACCGAGTTGGTTAGGCTTCTGAAGGGCAAGTATTTGTAACCGCTTGCAGAACAAACGTGGAAGGTGAAGAACTGCACCTGGTTCGGTAGCATGCAAAAAATACAGGTAGCACCAGGATGACTCTCTAGGAGCAGGTGATTGATGATACTGCTGGTACACTGGCCCCCATGTCGCCCAAAAGGCGCTTGTTTTTCCCGTTGTCCGATGTCCTGTAGGTTTTCCTTGATCCTCGGCCTTGTGTGGCTTCTGGGTTCTGCATGGCTCAGCGCATCGATGCTGAAGATATTGGCTGTGATGTTGCATCTCTTTGGCATTGTGAGGGAGGGAGCCAGCATGCTGGTGGATCAAAAATTTGGAGTGAAGCATGTCGGTACGACGTCATTCCACAACATTGCCAAATCTTTTACATCCCCGGAGCTGAGCTCAGGATTTATTGATCAGGACTTTTCAGCTTGTAAAGTGTATAGCCTGGCTTTTGGCGCCTACTGCAGGGGTGTCCTGCTGTGTGCTTCTGCTTTGGGGTTGGAGATTTTTTTCAGATTTTCGCTCTCGCGTATTCCTAGCATACCCAAATGACCCAGCCAACATGTCTTTTCCGTTGTCAGGTGTAATGCTTTTTTGTTTGAGAATGATGGTGAATGCGTTGTTTTCTTGTGATCGTTGATTTCTCTATATAGTGATCAGACTGTATTGCCATGTGCGCGCTCGTTTGGCGGCTCAATCGTCGAAAGTAAAATCTGTGGCTCAGCTTTGACATTAGCATGCATGGATTTTATTTGCAGACAGAAACATACGTACATAAATTCGTACGTACATTCATGCGTTCACACACACATATATATATATATATATATATGCATGCCTTCGTTCATTCGTTCATTCGTTCATTCGCTCATTCATTCATTCGTTCATTCATTTATTCAGTCGTTCATTCTTTCATTCATTCATTCATTCATTCGTTCCTTCATTCATTCATTCCTTCATTCCTTCCTTCCTTCCTTCATTCATTCATTCATTCATTCATTCATACTTTTTTACTTTACGTTCATTCAAACATTCATATGTTCATACATACTTTTCATTTGTATACACATTCACACGTGCACATACACAGGCGCAAAGAAACAATGTGTGTTGGGTTTAGGTAGAAATTAGAACATTATCGCTGCATGATTAGTTTGACCAACAAGCCCAGCTTTCAGGTTTGCACGGCCCAAACTGCTCCCGCCCAGCGACATGTTGCCCTCCGCCTTCAGCGGCTTGGTGTGAGGGTGATTGGCCGCTAGCAAAATGGCGCCGGGAATCACAATTACGTCGCTGGAAATCAACGGAGTGTGGTCGAATTTGCTTCATGCTCAATATACGGGGCCTTTTTGCAATGAGATTGTGGAGATAAAATGGGGTTGGTCTCTCACGGGGTGAGATATGGTGAGGTTCAAATGAGGGGTTAGTTTAGTTTTCCCTTTCAAAATCGGTTCGCGGAAAGAAACAGGATGCAAACCGGCAAAGGGACTTCAAACCAACCAGACTTTTGGTTTGGGAAGCAAAGAGTATTTGTTTTCCCTGCAGTGCGTATAAGTCGGCTAAGTAACACCATCATTTTTCCCCGCGTGGAACGAAATTCACAAAATATACAGAAGCACAATCATTCAATTTGTTCAGAGCTACAATATGCATCCAAATGTGGCTCGTAGCCGTTTGTTTGATACGGATTTACTCATGGGCTGTTTTTCTCTATGGACATGTGTTGGTTCAATTGGGCAGTGGAACAGGCCAGAAATGTGCAGGTTTTTTGGGGTGCCCACAAGATTTGCCCAGTGACTGACAAATGGTTTACATTCCCCATTAAGAAATCGTGTGTTCTCCTTATTTGTTCTTGTTTCCGAATGGACCTCATGCCTACTTCCGAAGCACAAGCTTGGTGATTTTCCATGCAAGGGATCCCGTCTAAGAACAAAATGATGTCAAGGAAAAACGTTGTTAACATTTTAAAGCCAGTCACTTCCGGGAAACCCACCAGCCATTGGACAATCATGCGTGTATAGGTACATGCCCGGCTAAACATTGCGAATTTCCATGTCGACGTTTGCTTTGCGCAGGTTATATTTACCCTTTTGGTTTACCTTTGCATCGCATTCGAACCTGAGTTCTATATATTGTTTATCTATTTATCTGTGCATGAGTGATTGAGTTGTCTCTTCTTCGGATGAAATTCCGAATGCTGTACTGAAGGTCACGAATTCTTTGCCCGTAGGTACCATCAGGGAACTCTCTGAGAAGGTGACCGTGCACCTGCCTTTTGTCGGAACTGGGCGGTGAGAAAATGCTGTATTGCGATTGATAGAGAAAGCATGTTCTAACATGGCAAGGAGTGGCAACATGCTTTTTCCCAAAGCAAAAAGTTTGTAAGGAAGAGGGAGGCCCCGAGGCAGGCTTTGAGGCAGGCCTCGCACAGGCTTCCAGGGCATCAAGGCCATGGAAATTGCAGCCAAACAAAAAGTTTGTAGGTGTAAGGCGAGGCAGGCCTCAAGGGTCTCCCACATGAACAATCCATGTATGAGTTCAAAAGGTGTGAACCCATCCCCCCTCCTCGGTGACATATCTAAATATTCAAGTCTAATATTTATTGAATCTCGGGGTACGTTCCTATGCCACAGCTGTCGCATGCTTGCCAGCCAATGGTTCTTCTGGTGTCTAAGTTGCGGCGATTCAAAAAAAATATATAGCACTGGAACGGAATGGGCCTCTGTCCATAGCTCTGTTACATTACCTGGGGTTGCTGATGTTCCCATCCAAGGCTGCGAAAAGCACCTCTCGAGGGGAAGGAGCAGAACGATTGCCTTTTTGGGGGGGCAGACACACAGTGAGGAAACCATTTGTGAAGATCTATTTAAAAACGTGTTGATAATCGTGGTGCTCAAGCACAACCAGTGAACATGTGCTGTTAAACTTAAACACCGATTCCCTAAGCGACATCTATGCTTCAAACATGGGCTCCCCATTGAATCACACAAAGTCAGATGGTTCCTTGTAGTCATGGACGGACAGTAGTTGTTTTCTTGGTAGTTGAATTCCAGGGACTGGCGCCAACTGCACCACTTGCTGTACAGTCCAATATTTACTAGTTCTCGATGTGGCATTCGGAATGCAACTTCGTTTGCTTTCTGTTTGCGGGGCAAGTCAAAATAGCTCACATTTTTTAAAAGTAAAATTCCTTTTGTTATTTGACACAGTAACCCCCGTCCGTAGACACCAATTCTCTACATTCCTTTTTTCGGGAGCCCAATGGTCTTTTACCACCAGCAGTTATTACTTTTTTCTAGCTGGCGCCAGCAGCTGGCGGACAAAAAGCGCATGGGTCAACAACTTTCAGTAAAACAGCGTGTGCAGTGAAAGATATTCATGTTCCTGAAAATTTGGACCCAAGGGGCCAAACATGGAAAACGCCAAATCGCCATCAAACTGGCATGGGTTTTATAGCCGCTGATTTGTTCGAGGATTTGGAAACCTTCTGTCTCGGCTGGCGGTTTTTTGAAGGAAACCAAAGAGTTTCTGCCGGTACTATGTTTCCACGGCTTTGGGGCCAATGGCAGCTCATATGAAGATTCTCGTCTGAATTTGCGTTCGTCATAGAGTCATATATATGCAGAGAGCGGGCCCAATTCAAAGTAAATAGCTTGGGTATGTTCACGTATCACTTCATGTCCAAACTTCCTGGGTTGGCATAACTGTTTTGAAAGAAGCCAGATTGGGCAACTGTTGCAATGTTGTTGGTGGTCTGTCGAACATAAAGTTACCTTGCTATTGCTCATTGGTTGGCATGGGTGTGCATTTCCATTCAAACTCATCAACTTGCTCCAGCGTCGCACCTCCATCCTCATGGATTTTTTTGCATGGAGACTGCAGGGAGTGTTTCTATTTGAATGGGGTCCCATCGGTGGGCTTCGGCAAACGTGCCAAAATCGACAAAACAAAATAAAGGTAACATAAGTTTTAAAACGGTGGTTTTCAGAAAACCAAATTGGTGTACCAGACCCCCATCCTCAATTTTCCATAAGTTTTCCGATCAAAACAGTTCGCCTAGCTCAGGATTTGCTTGAACCACTGACCGAAGAAATGCCCGATGCGTTGGTACTTTGCCCGGATCAGGTGGGTTTTGGACTTTCCAGGAGACCTTGGCACCAGCTGGCCAGGGTGGGTGCCCGGAATAATGATGTGCTCTATAGTTAACCAGAGCATTTTTGCTCCAATCTTACACGCTCCATTCGGGATGGCTTGTATTTTCTTCTGGTTTGACGACCCATTTTGCTGCTCCAAAAAAAATGTTGCTGGGAAATGTATCGCGTTTAAGTAGCATGTGTTGTTTGTGTTCTACTAGCGCAGCCCAAATTATTGCGCGGAACCGCGATTTCCAATGCTTGTTCAGGTTGTAACACCGCATGGACTTTGTGGCATGGTTTGGACGCGATATGAGGATCGCATCATTCTTCGAAGCATGTGCCGGGGGGAACGTTTTGGAAGTTTGAGGAAGGGAGCTTCGGACCTGTTGATGGCGGAGAACACGTCACCTTTGACCATGCCAGAGAAGCAATGGTGCAACTGTTCAGCCTCGATTCCTTTCAAGTTTGATGGAGGGCTGCCCTTGAAAGGATAAGTACTGCGGAGAAAGGCCTGCTATACATTGTTTGCTGGTTGGCGTCTCAGAATCCGTACTTCACTTGCAAGTCTTTTGGCTTTGCTCTCCCTGTCCAAAAATATGCTTTTACGGGTGAAACCGCCCAAATCTTCAAATATCTCCAAATCACCATTTGTGTCAACCATATTACCAGAAGTGTTGTGATTCAAAACGAAACTTTTTCCAACATTGACTTTAGACGGGGTAAATTTTGAGTAGCCGAGTGCAGTTTGAATATTGCTGCTTAAATCTCGGGCGATTGCAAATGGTTAATATGACCTTGTGGCTAGGTTTAGTTTGAAAACTGCCACCGGTTGAACTTTGAATTTTGGGCTCTACCTTTTCAAAATCATACATGGCAACGGAAATTCTTTCATGCAAAGAGCATTTTCCTATATATATGTATATATATATATATAGATAGATTCTCCATGTCTGGTAGATTTCGCAGCCTGCCACGTGTTGTTTACAGGAGGAGGCAAAAGTTTTTACAGTTCAAAGTTATTTGGAGGACCATCCCACTCCTTATCTCGTTAGTAGCCATGCCTAAAACGCAGTCATACATGGCATAACCAAATGAATCGGGACTTACTAGCCAGGGTTTGTAACCAGACAAAAAACGTTGGATGATCTTGATACTACCTCCTCATCCCGTTATTTATCTATTTATTTATTCATTCATTTATTTATTTATTTAATTTATTTTTTATTTATTTATTTATTTATTTATTTGTTTTTATTTATTTATTTATCTATTAATTCATTTATTTATTTATATATGTATATATATATATTTATATCACCCTTATTAAACCATGTAAAACCATAATCAACTACCCCGACACCTCCACTTTCCCTTAGAAACTTTTTGGTTTCAATGGGAAGAACCCAGGGTCCACCAGGAGGCCTTCCCTACACATCAGCAGTCAGCTGCAGCGCAATGACCTGGCGAAGCATTTGCTGCGCCCCAAGGGTGAGGAGATTGGGCCTGTGGGTAGTGGACAGGGTTGGTGTTGGCATATGTCTGCAGCTGGATGTGATGTTTTCATTGCTTTGTGTGGTGTGATGTGCGTTTATCTTGGGAATTGGCGAGCCACGTAGAGGGATAACCATGGAATTTTCGGTATTTATGTGGTGTTATATGTTGCGTCTGTGGTTTCATGTTTTTTTTTAAAAATATGTGTAAACCACCATGTTTGTTGGGATCTGGGGTCCCTATAACAATGGTTATACATATATATTTTTTGCATCGCACGAAGGTTCATGATTGGCATTTCACTTTTAGCTTTTTTTTAAGGATGATGTTTGTTTTTAATCCGGTGGTTCTTAATTTAGTTTATGATCATTGCCATTTCCTTGTGGCAGTTGAAAAGAACATGGACAATGGCCATGTTCAACGGGTTAACCATCAGCACGTGGGCAATTTTTTGTTGCTATGTTGATATTGCCAAAGAGGGTCACCATTTTTAATTTATCACCATTAGTGTTGTTTTTTTGATGGTGCTCCATATAGGACGAAAACCATACACATGAATCACCTGCAACGTGACCCTAGCACATGATCATTAAATTGTTTTTCATCCCCGGGAAAAAATGTAGGGGATGAAATTCACATCCCAAAAAAATGGCAGTGTTAGCATTAGCAGTGGATGATGGGATTTTCAATTTTCATCCCGTTACATCACTATTTTGATCCAACATCATTATTGTAATCCCATCAATGCACCATAGCATACTGAACTGTATCAGATATATCCCACGAATTCCCTCACATGATATCCCCGACAAGACCACGTGATTACCTTCCGGGAAACTAACAGTTTGCGAGCTGGAAGCTCGCAATTGTAAATAAGGAAATCATCGACGTAAATTAGGCATCTATACCACAGCAGACTGTTAGTTTGGAGGGTATCTATTCTTGGTGGTGTGAAATCTTTTTATTGAGGGAGATATCATCCAGGATTGGGATTGCCATCAAACAGCAAAAAAATGATTATTTTTGGGAAACCACAACTTTTGTTGATAAAGCCTGATTTTCATCCACCCACCATTCATGCGCCCCAAGTTTCGGTGTTTTAGGCTTGTTATTATCCACTATGTGGTTTGACGTGTTTGAAATGCCCTTGCAAGGAATTTTGTTGGTTTAATTGATGTATTTCCCATACGGACATGTTCTTGTTTAAAGTGCTGCGCGGAATGACAAATCTTGACACGGCATCCCACCTATGTTTATGTTTGTTGTTGTTTTGGATTAAAGCCTTCCCACCCAAAAACTAATTCTCCAATTGTTGCCAATCATGCTTTTGCACGGTCTTGTGGCAGTTTTTCTTGACTTCCAACTATTCACCAGCCTTACAGTGGCTGCGTTCATGCCACGTGCACCTGACAATGGCCTCTTGAGCCTGAGCCTATTCGCCATTATGCAACCCGATTGCGAATCTATAGCCATGCAGCCTTTTGATGCCCATATTGGCAAAGGTCCTGAGACTTCAAAGGAAGCCCTGAGTGGAGCGCCTACAAGAGCTGCAGAACATCTGACATTTCCGGGACTTCTTGTGAGGTCTCTCTTTTTCCGACCAATGCTAAATTGTCAATGCAATATTTGTCTGTTTTTTTGGGGTTCTTTTTTTGATAATTGAATTTGAGGGTTTTTTGTTCTTAATTTACATCAGCATGTATTTTTTGAAAAATACATTCCACCACAGAACATGTTCCAAGAATAGGATGAAACATATCTAAACTTATTCGAAAACATTTGCATATATATATATATATGTGTGTGTGTTCCAGTTGTTTTTCCTTTATAGATATGTCTGCAAATTTATCAACCAAATTCAATTTTAGCATATTTTCAGATAAGCTCAGAATAAAACTAGATAGTAATCTTGAATCTGATTTCATTTTTGTTTACTTTACGGTAGTTACGCATTATTTTCAACAAGCGTCTGCAGTTCAACTATCTAAAGTCAATGGTCTTAGTAGCCGAGAAAACGCCCGAAAAAAAACATGGTAGTTGTTCCAGCACTTGATGTTTGATCTTTTTTTGGATATCAACTATTCCGATTTTATCCCGCTTAGAATGTGTGATACGATCGTAAACCATGAGCATTTTTTTCATAGAGGTTCTTAACCGTTCCCTATGCATCGGACCCGGTGGCACCTGCTTGCAGTCGGGGATGGCTCTGCTGGATGACCTCACGACTTTGCAGCAGCTCGGTGTCGTTGAGGGGCTGGTGGGCGCCCAACATTTTCTAGGGGAAAATGGAGGTTGAATGGTAGTTTACTATTGTTTGTTCTTTTTATGGTTTTATAAGGGTTCTAGTGGGATGATAGCAAGATTATTATGGGGAATTGGTGTTCTATTCTTTGGGGACTTCTAGTGATTGCTGTGGAAAAAGTGTTTGGTTTGATGGTTAACCATCTAGCTGGCGTTGATATTGGGGAGAACCGGACTTGGTATCAAGATGTACTGGTGACGTGCCAGAAAATGAAGGGTTTGTTTCAATACTGAATATAGATAGTGCACCAATTGGAAATTTGGCTGAAGAGAAGACACAGTACTTTTCTTTATAGTCACCAGCCCGTTTTGGTACCCAGTATGTGGCCTGAATCAATTGATTTTACCAAGAAAGCTGATGAGGGGGGTGTGCAAACCAGGAAAACAATTGGAAAGAAATGTGAAATCTTGTATTTGGCCAACAAGAATGATAACTGTTTTCCAAGTGAGATAAGCAACGAAAGCGAGTAGGTATACAACCAAATTGTTGGCGAACTGAAGTGGGATGGACGCTTACAAAATGTGTATTGGATGCATGATGTGCTCGTGCGCCAGAACAATGAGCTCCCAGACCAACACTTGGATAGGTGAATGGTGGGTTTGCTGAAGGGGTTTTCAGTTCGAAACTAGTGATAAAAGACTAACAAAGTCTGGGCATGTGGGCACATATGTTTCGGTGAAACGGCGGCAATGGGGTGATATTGGGGCTTCAAGCAGCAACAATGAATATAGTTGACCAGCAACAATGGTGATAGGTCGAAGATGGTTGAAGGGTAAAGCTTGGTTTTCATCATCAAGGCACGCACATCTTCGAAATGTTAACATGTTCCAATATTGTTCCCCACATATTTCCTGTATATTGTTTTGTGAAGGCTGTAGCTTAATGCAGCAGCTTGCGCCAAGCGTGTATTGGCTGCGCTGCAGGATGTATACCCTTAGTGGCAATGCTGTCATCGACGCTTGGCATGGAAAGAGGTGGTGACTGGTTGATGACTAGTAAGATGTGTTTTACTGTGGTCGTTATCATCCAGCAGTGGCAGGTACTTCTGGGAATATCTGCTTACTTTGTCTTGCCGATGGTATTTTTGTTTGTTTTAGTTTTGGATGCGTCATCGCGAAATACTTTAGAAAAAATGCCCGTTTATTTGGCAAGGGGTTCACTTGTTGATCTGTTTGGAAGGCTTGATTCATTGAATCAGTTTGCAATCATATCACAATGTTGATGCCGACCGGCAAAGCTGTGTTTTTTCGTGCTATGATGAGTTGTTTTGGTGGATACCTCACAAATTTAATGAGATTTTGGGACTAGTCGCAAACCAGAAAATGTTCACGTAGCCCGTGGCTTTAGCAATGAAACACTAACCATCAGCCAATCGTCAACGTTCTTTTGTTGATTTTGTACGCTTCCTGTGTAGATGGCAGTGTTTTTTTGAAACCGGATTTTGGATTTTTCCATGTCGGTCTATTGTTACCAAAGTCTTTCATTGGCGGGGCCAATATTTTAAGATACATTTCCCACTGATCATCAGGATGAACACGGGTCATTATTAGTTATTGAGCCCAATCCATTTCTTATTAGGACTCTTAGCTGTTCAAATTTAAATTTCAGTTCAATCTATAAATCTTCATCTTTGCAGCTTGAAACAAACTTTTGTTTACAGCTAAAATCGACTAAACCACCAGAATCACAGCATAGATCCACAGTTTTACCATGTCACCTGAAACAGCTGAAATCCACGCCCCGCCTGCTCTCGCTGGCCTAGGCTCGTGCCGTGTTGGACGCTGAACCGGCGACCGTGAAAGAGCAGGTGGTGATTGGACACTCCATGGGAGTGCCCTGGTCTGGAAAAAATCCATTGGGAAGCGTGATTTGCGAAACATCATATGGCGAAGAATGGTTTATGACCAATTCTTGGATGCACTTCCCAGATAAGATCCGTGGTTCGTAACCCATACGTATGATCAGCACTATTGGAGATGTTTTTTGAAAATGGAAACGACTTGGGACGGGAAAACAAAGCCGTTCACCTCGCTCATTTGTCAAAATTCCATCCCAGTCCTTTCCCCTCCCAGACCCCAGGTGTATTTCTTGGGCGACACTTAAGCGAAACATCATGGAGTTGAATGGGTTTAAACTCCGAGGGGCAGGATATCAAGTTTAGGGCCAAACAGTTTTGATTCATAGCCGAACGCATCTGATGAAAAAACCTTGGGAAAACCACCCACAGATATATCACCGGCCAACTACAATATGATATTCCGCGGGGAGGATGGAGCAATGAAAAAACAAAGGCCAAATATCATTTCAAGAAATCCCATGAGTTTTCTTTGTTGAATTGCCTTTAACCCATTTCGTATGTTTTAAATCCTCACTCATCCCATTATACCACCCCATCCCATCTAAAACGATAGAGAGTTCTATGGGTTCGGCTGAGAATTGGTATCCCCGGGCCCGATACAATGGTTTATTTTTATTTTCCAGATTGTTTGATGGCCACACCTGATGGTCTACTGGTCCACGGATACCTTTTTAGTTTAACCCAAATATCATGTCATTGCTTCTCCCCAACAGTATGACCATTACATCCCAGTGTATCCCCATACAACATTTTTTTGTTGACCTCTAACCATCCTAATGAGGCCATCACGGCAGCGGCCCTGGCAGTGAGCAGCGCAAGAAGTGGTCACAAAGTCAAGTTGGCGACTCGGTACTTGGATGTGCATCCCAAGTGGATGTGCACCCCACACACACATATATATATATTTATTTAAATATTGTATATATTCATATAACTGGTGGTATTCCATATCGAACTGGGGAGTTTGGTTTTTTACCAACTCGTAAAGTGGAACTGCTTTCCCAAGAAATATGTTCAAATGTTTGATTGATAGGATATAGCAACCCCTAAGAAGATGCCGAAAAGTCGGAATTTTGAAAGCCAGAGGTAGATATCACCTAGAACATAAGAATATGTGATGATTCATGAAATTGGTTCAATGGGATATGAATCTATTTGGTGGTTGGCCTTTCACTTGCCGGATGCTAAGGTGTTGATTGGTTTCTGGCAGTGAAACGTAGGAATGGAATGTGCCCCATACATGGATGTTTCAATGGGACTATCATCTATACATGATGATTTTTCCGTTGCCATTTGTCTGATTCCCAGATGGTATAGTATGCATGCCTGATACCTGGTAGTATAAGGCTGAAAAAATATGTTCTTGCAGGTCAACTACTGATTTGGACGGGTTGGTCCTCATCATGCAGGGGTGTCATGTCTTTCATAATCCTTTCAGAAGGTTGCTTACCATCCACACATGAGCAGTGTTCAAAACCCCGGCTGGTTGATATTTTGAGGGATTTTATTACCAAACTGCTTCGAGATCATCATCATCCAAAATTGGAATGGGTTCTCAAGTTCTTAATTAATCAATCAGCATACTTCATGGGATGACTTTCGGGTATATTGAACATTGCTCACACGAGCTTGTCTCAACATTAGAAAGGATCCGGCGCATGGTATTTCGTAATGGGAGGCACGTGATCGCCCATCTCAGTTGGTATGTGAGGTCATTATTGTGGTGGGTTGAGTTCGCTAGAACCAGAACATATTTCAACCTATAGTTGGTTTGTGTTTTGTTTTCTCGCTTATTTGGGTGTTATCTGTGAAATTTTACGATCCTAGGGACCACAGATTTTGGCATCCAATTCAAGAGGTACACTTTTTCGTTAATTCCAATTCCTGATTGATAAATTCCGTGATTGATAAATTCCGAGTGCTTAAGACCAGTTGAAAAAATATATTGGTTTCAAAGTCTGACGCTTTTTATCAATTTACCAACAAGAAACAACAGCAAATCAAGATGCAGGTGCTGGAAAGCCCGGCCTTTTTGTCGAAGCCGTGCGACCGCTTGGAGCCGTCCAAGATCGGCAGAGTGCCATGCCTTGGGACCATGATAGACACTCAGAATCATGGCCATTGAAAAAAAAGGATTCCCCAGCCAGCCATGTTTGATTACCGGAGGGTAGCCAGGAGCACTTCCACTCTCCCGTGTTTAGAAGATGTCAGAAGGAAGATCCTTAAGCCTTAAGCTATGGGTATCTTAGATTTCCATAATTTATTTCCCGTTGAATGGGGAGTGAAGGGCGGAAGGGTGGCAAACTTGATAGTTTCCCAATTACCTGAGCCAACCCCATGCTACCATTCTATAATTGGGTTCCCATACCGGGTCAGAATCTGGATTAAGCCAGGTGGTATGTTTCATATAAGAGACATGTCGACATTGTCTTCACATTCTCCAGGGGTTGGTACAACTGTCCGGCCATGGAGTTTTTGAACATTACTTGAAAAAGTATTTGTTGGAGATAGTATGGCTCAATAGTTGGGTTATGTTCAAGTAGGACATTTGCCAATGGATTCTCAGCGAAATTCATCTACTGTACCTTTTTGGGTGGTTTTTGCATCTACTTTGGTTTAACAGAGGGTAGAGATTCAAACAACAATGTAGCAAACCCAATTCCACAATCCCTTCCCAAAAAGGCTTTTGGAATTGGGTATAGCTTTGGCGACGGGATCATGTAAAGTTTATTGATTGCGACTTTGGCACTGAAAAATGATATATGTATATATACAAATAAATAAGTTGGTTATCACCTCCCGTGTAATCGATCCATGGCGTGCAAGCCAGCCAGCTTGGAAAATGGATCCAGAAGGTCGGGCTGGTTGCAACAACAACGCGCAAGCAAAGCCAGGGTTGAAAACGTGCGTAGGTTCAATTGGAAAAGGATGAAAAGGGCAGCAAATAGAAGGTTTGCAAAGCCAGGCTGGCTACAAGCTCCGGCGTGCTAGCCAAGCCAGACTGGCAAATGGATGCAGAAAGCGGTGCTGTGTTCTCCACGCTCCGGCGCGCGAACACAGCCAGCCCGGCAACAAGGTGTGAACAATATCATGCTAATAAAACTGAGGGTCTTAAAAAAAAGCGAAAACGGTCAACGAAAAAGGCAACAAGTAAAGGGCATGGAAAGCCAGGCTGGCTGCACGCCCCGGCGTAAAGAACCCGAAAAGAACCTGGCTAGGAAAGCTCAGAGTACAAGCAGAAAGTGAGGAGACACGTGCAAAGATCCAAAAGCCAGGCTGGCTCCACGCTCCGGCGTACGAACACAACCAGCCCGGCAACAAGGTCTAAACAACAACGCGCTTAGCAAAGCCCAGGGTTGAGAAACGCAGAAGTGTTCAACGAAAAGGCATAACAAACAGAGCTTGGAAAGCCAGGCTGGCTACACCCTCCGGCGTGAAAAGAAAGCCAGCATGGCGAAAGTTGCCGGAGAGGAACGCTCAGCTAAAAACACAACAGCAAGGATCTGTCAAACCAGGCTGGGCCCACGCGCCTGTGTGCGAGCCACGCCAGCCTGGCAAATTGTTTTGTGGTGTGTGTTGTTTGCAGCTTAATTGTTGTCGCTTTGGTTTCTGTATCCCAGCGGTCTTGTTGTTGTTCTCGTTGTTCCCCTTGTTCTCGTCCCTCTCGTCGTTCTCGTCTTTGTTGTTCCTGTTCTTCGGATTTTTTCCGGTTGCCGTGCTTATTGTTTTTGTTCTGTTTCTTCTTTCTGTTCTTGTTTGTTTGAGACAAACACCAGTTGCAACCAACACGGGCCAAAACTGTTAATCAACAGTGCTTCTTGACTGTGAAGTTGCCTTCAGGCACATGCGCCGGTTTGAAAAATATTGTGTCAAAGTGCATGCGCGGTCATTTGTTCGATTTAACCACGCATGACCTTTTTTGGAAAAATGCTAGTTTCACACTGAAACAACGATCGCAGGGCAGTTTGGTGAGTTTGAACTCGCAGTATAAGCAGCATGTTTCTAGTCATGTCTAATTGAAAATTTCAGGCCAGATTGAAAAACTATAACTTGAATTTTGCTGAGTTATAAACATTGAAGTTTATAACCAGTGAATTTTTTTATAGTTTAAAAACTATAACCAGTGAACCCTCAAGTTACCATTGAAACAACATATTGGTTTCGGATTTTTTGGGTAACGAGGTCACGGCATTGGCGCTGCGCTGGCAGAGGACAGTGCTGCGTTTGGTGTTGCAATTGCCAGGGCTCACCTACAGCAGGCAACAGCAATGGCCCAACTGCGGGGGTTTGGGAACGGACTTAGCCAAGGCATTTAGTCATCGATGTTGGTGCATTGAGTCAATGTGTGTACTTTGCATACAGACAGTATCACATGAGATCGATATGTATATATCTATGTATGTATATTTGTATTTTGTAAAATCAATATATATATATATATAATTACATATATTTTATGTGTATATATATATATATATGGACCAATATTATTGTGTTTGAATAATACAACCCACATACATGCCAGTCGTAAATATTTAAACAAACTAATAGGTGAGGATGTGCCTGGATCGCATTGCAACATGTTTGCAGGTCACCACTGACGTTTGCCCCAAAACATGGACACGTTGATGCAGACATGACTTGACCCATCCCCTATTTTTGATGTTCCTAATTCTATATTCAATATTGTTTCAAATATATATATATATATTTATTTATATCTCTGGGTAAATTATAACGACCTCACTGCGACCTCACTGGAAATCATGCTTAGTAAGGGAAATCACCCCCAAATGGCCTTAATTCAGTTCAGTGATTTTTTTTTAACATTTACCATGATATATATATACATATATGTACATATACATATAACACATATATATATATATATATATATTTACATACATAGGACTATAATCGCAATGTGTAAAACCCATATCCGCCATATTCACCACAAATGACACCCTGTGGAATTCCCCTTCTCCCACTGTCTTCGAGGCGTTTCTGGCAGCGAGGTTTGGCCATGGCGGCGCCAATGGATGAGGAACGGGCGCGATTGCAGGTGCTGCGCTATCGTTTCTGGGCGGAAAAGTCGTAGCTGAGGGAACCTTCAGTTCTCCGAATTTGGTGGACAACGCACATTCCCAGGAGAAAAAGCACATGTCTTTTAGCGGAGTGAACAAACAAGTGGCACATAGATGTTAATTATCTGGGGAATATGTTGGAATTCCCTGACTTGTAACCAACCAAAATTGAGATTTGAGGTTTTGGGTTCGTTGTACGTCTGAGATGAAAGTTGTTTTTTATGCTCAAGCAATATGTTTCGTTGAAACAAAGAAGATACTCTTTTTACCGCACATTTCTGGACAATGCAGTTTGTAGTTTGTATAGCGCATGGGCGTTTATAGATCCAGAAAAATAGTTTGACTCAAGACGGTTCCCGCCCAGTTATGTTACTACATTTATAACCTCCCATCAACTAGTTTTGATGCATCATTATTTATTATCATAACAGTGAAATTGGAGTTATGTTCACCAACTTAGCTATCACCTTAGTATCCTAGTAAACTCCAACTAAACCAATATTAAGATCCACAAGAAAAAACATTAAAATCAACTTACTCCCAGTGAAATTCTACTAAACAATCAGCACAGAATCCCATTTTACTTCCTATAAACATCCATTACAACCCCATTTAAATCCCATTAACATATAATCACATCAATCACATCCCATCAAACAAAATCCTTTGGATTTTGGCCGGAAAATCCCACACTAAATCACCTTAAATTCCCATTGAACATATTAGACTCCTCATTAAAAATCATGTTTTCATTCAATGTTTCAATGGGATTTTTAGGGGAAATTACATGTGAAACCCTCATTGGAGAAGCCCTGGCGAAGCCGCGCGAGGTTGGCCCAGTCTGTCGGAGCACTGGGCCCTGGGCTTGGCAAACTTCGTCACCGCGCGCCTCATCACCATGGAGGACCAGCAGATTTGGAAAGCTGGGGGGAAAATGCAGAAAACTCAGGGGAAAACCATGGGAAAGAATGGGGAAACCTTAGAAAAAAGTCAGAATCAGACAATTTTCTGACCAAAATAACTTGGGGGCAGATTTTGCTTTTGCCATAGAACGTGGATACATATCACCACTTGTGCTGTTCCCAGCTGCTTTGAGTTGGTTGATGAAGCTTGGGACTGGTAATTTCGTACTAGTTTTTGGTTGCCGGGCATGTGAGAAGCTCGCGAATGTTGTCACAGTTTGCATCATACTATGAACGTTAAATTCAGTGGGGGGTGGGGTGGTGTGGGGTGGGGTTGGGTGGCTAATAACGTCATTGGCACTTCATGCTACACTATACTGTTTGTTCTCTTGGACTTCCACGCATACGTCATTCTACGCTACTGTATGTGTCGATTTGATGATGATGATGATGATGATGATGATGATTTGATGATGATGATGATGATGGTGGTGGTTGTGGTGGTGATGATGGTGGTGATGATGATGATGATGATTGTAATGATGAAATGATGATGTTTCTAATGAAACCAAAGTTTTGTTTTTTGTTTCCCCTTTTCGATGTTCCCCTCGAGAACCTTTGGAAAATGACAGCAATCGCGAACCTCTCAGATGCCCGGCACCATGTTTTTTCTTAATATGACTGCAAAAACATCACCTATCCAATTCGACGAACATGTATTATATTCTAAGATTTGGTGATGAACCCATCACAAGTTTGATAAATTCCCCGTATGGATGAATCCTTGTTTAGAGAGTGCACTGAGTGTTTGGATTCAGGCACGTCAATTCGCATCACGTTAAGTTTTGGATCAAAACAGGTGGGTACCATGTTAAAAAAAAATGCATTTTGCTCATACTTTATTGCCCATGGTTGGGATTGCGTCGGCAGTTAATCTTGGACTGCATGGTGCTGACATTGATGTCAATGTGAAGTTTTTGGATACGGGCGAGGCGGTGGCCATCAACGCCCAGTCGGCTGAATGGCATGGCTGTGGTCCATTCTTTTTCTTTGCCGTTGCGTGCAGTTTGTTTGGGTTGTGTGAATTGCATTGCGCTTGGCAAACAAGATATGGGATATAACGGGTGTATGAACGCATTTTGTAACCAACTGACAATGTTCTATTTGGTTGTTGCGGGAAGCAACTTCACAAAGTCCGGGGGTAAATTGTGAACTGAGATGAACTGATAACCCCTATCCTACTTAGAACAATCAACTTTAGCAAAGTAGGTGGCACCAGTAGCAAAGTAGGTGGCACCAGTGGCCAAGGAGGCCTGCTTTCTTCCCGAAAATGTGAAGTTTCAGCTACCAAACATGGGGTGGTTTGCCGAATTTACATGAATTGATCATCCAAATTTCAATTGTTGAAACATTTGGTGGGTTGGATTCAACAGAAATAATATTTCAACAATCTAGCCAATAATATTGATACCATATTGATCATCCTAACAAAATAATGGGTTGGATTCAAGCTTGCGCAGATACCCACACAAATGTTGCAATAGAAATGATGACATGTATGATGAACCATGATTCCTTGTGAAAAAAATATACATAATGACTAGTACGAAGTACTGTGGGCCGTATTACTACATTACTGGGTATCATAGAAAGGAATGAGAACATCGATACGACTCATTCACACTGCGTGTCTTGGATACCCCGAAAATGGAATTCAACCACCAGATCATTTATCAAATTTGAATGTATACAATATGCATGATGTTGTTAAAACAATAATAAACAATCCCCCAAAATCAAAATGAATAGGTGGTATAAAGCATCAAAAATGGGATGGTTTATTATTGTTTTCACCACATGATGCATATATTAGCAGACATATAGAAACTCAAGCGGTTGACCAACAAGATCTGGTTAGTCAAACTGTCTAACCACAAATATGTAGACTTCAAAAGCAGAACTGCTATTTGTTGGGCAAAAATCATATTTTACCCGTAAATATTGTGATTTACCGGTATATAAAAGGTTTATCATGAAACTGCAATTTTAGTGAAAGGATTATGATGGTTCATTATTAATAGATGAATAATCAACCATAACAGTTACGAAAAATAGTAATAATCCATATACCAATCCATTCTAACTAAGGATTGTTTCAATGAAAGGATTGTGATGGAAGCTGGTTAATCATTGAATCATCAACCGTGACAACTACGATTAATAATAATCCATACATCACGAAAGGTAGCTCCAGAGGGGCCACCTTGAGTTTTACTTTACGAAGTAAAGGGGAGGGCGGCCAGCCCCGTTACCTGATTCTTCAGGAGATTGCTAGTCATTTTAGTAACCCCCCCCCCTCCACACCTCCCACGCACCCTAAGAGCAGACTCAAAACATTGTAATTTACAGTATTTTTGTTCTTTTTGGATCAAGAAACCACATTTTGCTACATGGTGAAACCTCCGTAAATACCAGTGTTTTTGCTAGGTGCTGGCCAAAAAACACTGTAAATACCGTGCTTTTTACTACCAGAGGCAAAAAACATCGTAAATACTGTGGTTTTGGGCTTCCGACCCGCCAAAAACATCGGTATTTACGGTGTTTTTTGCTCCGAGAGTTGCAAAAACACGCGAAAACACCACCGATTTGACGATTTTCGGCCACTACGGAACCGAGCAAAAACGCTGCAGGGGTAACACCAACACCAACAACAACAACACCAACAGCAACAGCAACAGCAACAACAACAACGACGACCACAACAACAACAACAACACCAACACACAACGCACAATGCACAATGCACAACGCACAACGCACAATGCACAACGCACAACGCACAACGCACAACGCACAACACACAACACACAAAACACACAACACACACACAACACACAACAACACACAACAACACACAACAACACACAACAACACACAACAACACACAACAACACACAACAACACACAACAACACACAACAACACCACAACAACACAACAACAACACAACAACACACAACAACACACAACAACACACAACAACACACAACAACACACAACAACACACAACAACACACAACAACACACAACAACACACAACACAGCACACAACAACACACAACACACAACAACACACAACAACACACAACAACACACAACAACACACAACAACACACAACAACACACAACAACACACAACAACACACCACAACACACCACAACACCCCACAACACACCACAACACACAACAACACACAACAACACACAACAACACACAACAACACACAACAACACACAACAACACACAACAACACACAACAACACACAACACCACACAACAACACACAACAACACACAACAACACACAACAACACACAACAACACACAACAACACACAACAACAACAACAACAACACCATCAACAGCAGCAGCAACAACAACAACAACAGCAACAACAACAACAACAGCAGCAACAACAACAACACGAACACGAACAATACCAACACCAACAACACGACCAACAACACCAACACCACCAACAAACCCAACCACACCAACAACACTAACAACACTAACAACACCAGAAACACTACCACCACCAACAACACCAACAACAACAATACCAACAACACCAACAACACCAACACCACCAGCACCACCAACACCACCAACACCACAACCACCACCAACCCCAACCACATCGCCGAAGCCTTTCAGTCGCTTTTACCAGACTCCCCTTCATATTTTTGGAAAGAAAATGGCCGCGTCGCTTTTACCAGACTCCACTTTATGTATTTTTCCCTCCCCTCTCCCCTTCATTTTTTCTTCGGTTCCTTTCTTGCTTACCTACCTTTCGTGTTCCCCCTCTCAAGTCAAGTCATTATAACTAAGGAATATTTCACTAAAATCCTGATGAATTTTAGTACATGTTACTCTGACCATCAGGGCCCTGCCATCCCGTCGCAAGTGGCTAACCATACAAAAGAATTTATGTACAGGATGTTGAAGTTGGTTTCTAAACCCCATTACCATCAATTAACTATAGTTGCATCTACCATAAACCATAGTTAAGCCACTAAGGCAACTTATCTTGGGGACCCCATTCACCGTTTATAAACAGTCCATTCACCAACCATGACTGAGGGGGTCATTTAACATCATCCCATTGCCAAGGGCATACCCAATTTATGGCATTGGGTTTGCCACATTAAACATCAACTGTAACCATTCATAACTAGTAATCAAACAACATTCATAACCATTCCTAACCAACAAGAACGATTTATTTCTAGTTTAATGGCTAGAACCCCTTCTGAACCATGGGTTTTTTCTGCCCCGGACTATGGTCTAATCGGTGGTATTCGACCGTCGGTAGCAGGACGGATTGGTGTTGCACGAGCTGATCGAAGTAGCTCGAAAAATCGGTGGATTCCACTGGTAAAAGTCGGTGATTTTACCCGTGGAACTTGGGTGATGTCACCAAGAAATGTGGGGATTTAGCCATGGAAAAAAAGGGGATAAGTTGGGAGCCATAAATCGCCAACAGAAATGTTGTGATTTAATCGCCAAACATTTTTTTTCTTAATGTTGGGTTTTAACTGATTTAAGCGACAAACATGGGGATACATGATGAATTAAACACCTAAGATCCTGGTTGGAAGGCATTCTTGAATGACATAAAATGATCAATAATTTCAGGTTGGTGAATTATAATAAATCAGCCAATATATCAATACATGGAACAAAAAGAGGAAATGACAAACATACAAACATCTGGGTAAATTATAACGACCTCATTGTGTTCCCTCACTGGAATAATAGTTGATTTTAGGGGAATCATCCCCAGATGGCCCAACATTTCAGGTTAATATTACAGTTGACCCAGATTGAAAAAGGTTAGTCAATTATACCCAATAATCCCATATTTATGGATATATGATACCCTCTGTTAAACTAACATAGCTATGGAAAATCAACATGTTTTTAATGGGTAAATCCACTATTTCGACTGGGCCATTTTCAAAAGCAAACTGTTAGTTCACCAGAGGGTCCCATGATATCCCCATGATATCCCGAAACCATCATCTGGTTGGTGGCTTGGAACATGATTTTAATTTTTCCAAATATTGGGAATGTCATCATCCCAACTGATGAACCCATATTTTTCAGAGGGGTAGGTATACCACCAACCAGTCATGGTATATTCCCATGAACCATCATAAAACAATCGTGTTTTTCCATTTCTGCTTTGGTGCTTTTCAAACTTGGCTGAGTTACAAGTTCACTTATAAGTTGCTCAAGTGGACTTACAACCATGTAATATGCACTTACAACTGGGCTATGTCCAACCTAAGTCATGTATAAGTGTAGCCGAAGTTATACTTGACTTGTAAACGGTTGGCTGGGTTATAAGTGGACTTAGGTCCAACGTGAAATCCTCGAGGGTAAGTGATTATAAGTCACTTAGCTAAGTCAGCTAAATGCCCGGCATTTCTCGTGGGTTTTGCACATGTGTTTCCTGCAACAATTTTTTGTCCCTACGACCTATGTGAGCTGGAAGGGGGATGATCACGCTTTTGTAGGGATATTCCCTTAGATAGGCCTTAAAAAAGTGCCTTATATATGGTAGGTACCTCCACTTGTTCTTCCTGAAATGGCCATTGACTCACGGCACTTTCCATGTTTTGGCGATTCGGGAGACCTTGGATATCTTGGATGGGTAACAGCTATGGTTTTGTTTCTGACAGCTATGGTTTTGTTTCTTACACCGATTTATATTGAGCCAAAAAAACAATATTGGGATATGATCCATGTATTTGGAAATATACATGTTATATTGTGATCAATATCCCCAGAAAATGTTGCACTAATATACCATTAGAAAAATGCACTGGCCATGATATGTCTTGTCCATCGGACCTACTGTCTTGTGTTCCGTCCAGTTGACGCTGTGAGGCATCTCTAGAAGGGAACTTGCGCGTGCTGATCATCACGGGCGATCAGGAACTTCTTCTCGGCGCTGTGGGCTGGTGATTGGGTTCATGTCATTCATGTCGTTATTCGCGAAGACGGGATTGAACATAGTACTGTATACCCCAAATCCCAGGGTTTACCATCATATCACATTCCCCAAAACAACATGTTTTCTCTTGGGGGTCCCCATTGTCAGACAGGGCCGGATGAGCTCAGGAGACTGGCTGGGTTTTGTGGGATTTGTGTAGGTGAATGAGGGCCCCTGGAATTCATTGCGCTGCTAGAATTCCAGAAACCAATGTTATGTCCATGGCACCATGGTAACAACCCACTTACATATGGGCAACCCACTTTTACATGGGATATGTCCATGGCGCCATGGTAACAACCCACTTACATATGGGCAACCCACTTTTACATGGGATATGTTATGTCCATGGCACCATGGTAACAACCCACTTACATATGGGCAACCCACTTTTTCATGGGATATGTCCATGGCACCATGGTAACAACCCACTTACATATGGGCAACCCACTTTTACATGGGATATGTTATGTCCATGGCGCCATGGTAACAACCCACTTACATATGGGCAACCCACTTTTTCATGGGATATGTCCATGGCGCCATGGTAACAACCCACCTACATATGGGCAACCCACTTTTACATGGGATATACCCAGTTTGATACATACGTATAATATATATATATATAATATGTATACATTACGTATGGCCATGGAACAATGCCTATAAATGCCATCTGTTAGGGGGATTAACATCAATCCCAGCTATTTTGATGTGAACAGAAGGGGTACGGTTGGTAGCTTGACCCATCCCCCAGCTCATGGGTAATGTTTAAGCCTTACACAGTGAACGGTGCGGAGAGGAAACCAACCGTTACGGAAATTCTAAGCAGATTGGGTATGAAGAGCACAACTGTGCCACATGACGATCGGATCTATGTTGAAAGCACATGGAAGCATGCAAGAGTATTGAAGAAAGACCAACTCATCATTCATCCAACAAAAGCACCCTGGTTTATATAGCTATTCTCTGCACAGGTGCACAGGTTTACCCGTGCGCCTGCCAGGATCGAGTGGTGCCGCTGGCCCGAAGCAAAGATCTGCAGAGCTTGCTGCGCTGCGATCTCCAGATGATGGAGGCCATCATCCACTCATTCCCAAATGGAGGCCATGTCTACTATTTTGGGGGTAAAATGGTAATTGGATAACATAAATCTCTATTTGTTTTTTTCACATTTCATATATTTTATCATGGATAACATAGCCATATGCGAACCATGGTGCTGGAATATTTACCTACATGTTCTCGCCATTTTGGGGGTAAATGTAGGTAATCCAGCAGCATGGTTCGCATCTGGGATTGGTTGATCAAAAAAGAGAGGTGAACTGATAAATGGGTAATCGGTTAATCTATCAAAAACATCACCATTAGTCTACCCTTTAGAATGATGGTAGATTAATTGATAAATTACTATAGATGGTGAATGGTAGATGGTTGATTGTGGTCAAATTAGAGGGTTTTGATGAACAAAACATGTGAAGAACCAACAGGTAAATTAGATGGGATAGCAGCTGTTCTTTTTCAAGCACGATTGATCTATACAAATCATTGATCTAGCGAAATCCTCATTTCATCTCATGTTGATTGGTTACATGATAATTTCACTTGATGGTTTGTGTTCCGTTTTTGTTTGTTAAATTACGAATTCGCTTGTTGTCCGACTTTTCTCCCACATATCACACATTTGGTTGGTGCTATGTCCCCATCACCCCTGCTATTCGGTGGTTATACCGGCATTACTGCAACAAAAAAAGCTGGTGTAAATGGCTTGTTTCTTGGCAAACCCGTGTTTCCATTTTATTTAGTGTTACTTCTATTTCCAGTGAAATTATATATCATTTCCGTTATATCACAATATTAATCCCATTAGTATCTATTATTGGTGATCAATTTACACGAACAAACCATGGTTGAATATCCCTCAGGCGTCAGTCCCACGAACCAATCGAATCATATTCACATGGTTTAACCCATTATTACTGATCAACCATTAGTTTAATATCCATCTATTTTTTAGTTATACCATTTATTAGTTAAAACTGGTTAATAACCAGATGATCAACCATTTATAACAGTTATAACTGGTTATTCCACTGGGATGAAAAACATTCTATAAATGGGGTTATATATAAGTAGTTACAACTGGTATTTCTGGCCATAACTGTAATGATCAAGCATTAGTTTTTAATATCCACTTAATCAAACCATCATATACCATCATATTCATATCCATTATTCATTGATTAGACATTATTCATTAGGTTTAAACATGCTCAACCTCCCATATTTTTGGATGGCAAAACCTCCATGTTTGGTCGCTTAAATCCCACCATGTCTATTGGATGATCACCTGCCAGAAATGATTCCCGGATCAAATCCATATGATTTCCAACGTTGAGCCATGGTTTGGGGTATCCGTATATTTCTCAGGAAATCACCATGCTATCCAATGCTTTTCCCAGAGTTTTCCCATGGTTTTCCCATTTTCCATAGTTACCCTCTGGTTATGACTAACAGTTTGCCATGGTATAGATGGGCCCATAGAATTTAAATAGATGGTTTACCGTTCTTAAAAATGGTGATAATCACCATGGCTATGTTAAATAACCAGATGGTAAATACAATAAATCACCTTATAAATATTCTGCTTGGTGGTTTCAAACATTGGGATTAGTTTCCATTTAATATATGGGATAATCATCCCAACTGGCTTTCATATTTTTCAGAGGGGTAGGTATACCACCAACCAGATATGGATTCATATGATTCATATGGACTTTGGCGATTATAATCCAAAAAAAAGTCCATATGAATCCCATGATTCTAGTTATTTCAGTCCATCACTACCCGCAGGGCCGTGGTCACATCGCCCACGAAGAAGATCCCAAAGGTTTCGCGAAGCTGGTGGCGAACTTTGTCGCAAAATCGGCGGACAAAAGAAACCATGGGCTGCGTGACTTCGGGAATATCATGGGAATATCATGGGAAGTATAGTCTCCAGTAATTTAACATATACCCTGCCAGATAGGGGTTGAAAGATTAGTTTTTCCACTGTCCACGAAGAATGGGTTGTTTTCAGGGTCGAACTGTCAATTTACCAGAGTCATGAGTTTCAATTGTAATGGCTTAAATCAACGTTAATAACAAATATGTCACGTTCATGATCCGTTAGATTTGTGAAGCCACGCTCCAATCATTAATCCCACCATAAATCAATGTTAACATTTTTTTCATGGGATGAACACAGTGATTGACCATTTATTAGTTATAACTGGTTATAACTGGGATTATACATTCTATAAACGGGGTTTCTTAGTAGAAATGGGATTATACATTCTATAAATGGGATTATACATTCTATAAATGGGATTATACATTCTATTCGTTATAACTGGTATTTCTGACCATAACTGCAGTGATTGACCAGTTATGACTGACCAATGCCGATGGTGCCAAACCGCTGATTCGACCTGATCTGGAAGGGTAAAGAGGATACGTTGATGCCCTTTTCAGTGTTCCTCGCCCAAAAAATACAACACACGTAAACAAACATATTGTTACAGGCAATAGTCAGTGATTATACATAAATATTATATATATATATATATATTTTCAATTATATATATAATTTTGAATTATATATATAATTAGGTGTTATATCTATACACAGACAGGTACACATACATCCATACATGGAATTCAAAACCTGGCCGCTATTTTTCGCCCTACATCCTGCAGGTGGCTACAGCTCAGCGAGCCCTGCTGTGCAAAAAGGCCAGCGATGGCAGGGTCAGGTTGCCCTGGTTGCCGTCGGGTGTAGTGGCAGAACGGCGAGGTCTCCCACAAATGGCATTTCCAACAACCAATCAACTTCAACTGGTTGGTGGTTTGGAACATGAATGGATTTTGACTCTGACTCTCCATATATTGGGAATGTCATCATCCCAACTGACGAACTCATATTTTCAGACGGGTTGAAACCACCGATCAGATTCAACTTTAAGAACGGAACCAAAAAAAGCATCATAGTTCAACGCGCACACTGTGCTTCGGAAAATGCGCGATTGTTGTTTCCAGCCAAAGCAGCCTTCCCAACGACATAGGTGATATTTCTTCTCGTGCCTGTGGAAACAGATTCCCGGCCGTGACCACAACACAAACTAAAACATCAAATCATAGCAAATCATTGGTGGTTTATATCTCAGCATACCATATTTCCTTTGGTTTATGGTACTGGTAGATATAACTATGACTTTAACATACTTTAACTAAGGTTTATGGTAGATATACTTATAACATTTAATTTCACGCGTGGCCCACATGTTTTTTTCGCATGTTTTTTGGTCGGGGATGCCCGTCGCAAAAGTTTCGCAGGAACAGGATCTGGAGGGCAGGCAATTGTTTCGTCTTGGAAAGCACAAGACACAATGCAATACTTGGAGAGGCTTTGATCATCATTGTTCGAAATATTAGTATCCCACTATTATCCCTATTAAATTAATGGTACTATGTTTCCCATTGGTATCACACTAATCTCCTAAGACTGTCCCATTAATCACCTACAGGATGGTGCCCCCCAGTTAAAAGTTGGTTTATAAACCCCATTAACATCAATCAGACTATAGTTATATCTACCATCAACCATAGTTAAGCCACTAAGGCAACTTATCTTGGGGACCCCGGTTCACCGTTTGTATTTGCATGTTCTTCGACGCAAAGACAAACGGTTGGCACCATAAAAAGTAACTGAGAACTGGAATTGAAGATGTTTACAGTGATGACCATTTATTAGTTATAACTGGTTATAACTGGGATGAAATACATTCTATAAATGGGGTTTTGTTAGTAGTTCTAACTGGTAAATGGCCATAACTGTAGGAAACATGTTTGCGTTGCAAATCTCACCAAACACCTCATTATGTTGGTTGTTTGTTGTCTTTTTTGGTATCGCAGAAACTTGGGGTCGGTTTCCTTCATGTGTTGCCCCGGACCAAGGCCTTGATCCGTCACCACTTCGGTTTGTTTGGGGGAAAAACAAGTGTAAAATGTATGGTGGAAATTGGCCAAAAATAGATTCAAGAACATGAATTCTGAATTGGTTGGTTTTATACCCCAAATTGAACCACACCCATTCCACATGGCATTTTTTTGTTGGTTCTCCATCAGCTTCCAAGGCGATACCCGGTCCAGGTTGGGTGGGTTGGATGGATGGACGATTGAGTGCATATGTTTCCAAGGAACAACAAGGTGTTCAACCAAGGACACATGTAATATGCTGGTTGGTGGTTTGGAACATTAATTTTATTTTCCACATATTGGGAATGTCATAATCCCAACTGACGAACTCATATTTTTCAGAGGGGTAGGTATACCACCAATATGGTTTCATGATGGTTCATGATCGTTGGTTTTGCCCATTAGTTTTGGACATATATGATTGACTAGATAACAATTTTGTGGACCAACCAGGTGTATATGAATTTGGGTCAGTGTGAGATTAAACCCTGTTGAGACCTAAACTTACCCAATCAAAAGGTTATCCAACCAGATATATAAATGATTCCGAGTTGTTCAGTGCGCCTGTTGCATGATGTATTTGAACCCTACCTAGATTAAAAAAATATCTGTATCAGAAATCGTTTTATATAGTATTTATAACTGTATTGTCATCAACTATAAGACAAAACATGCAACGAGGTAATACGTTTTTATAACAACATATTATGATCAATATACAGTTTCAATCTTGGGTGATGATGTTTTAATGAAATTAATCTGCTTTAATACTTTAATACAGGTACAGTGGCACATGTTTGTTTGAATCATCCATCCACTGTTGTTGTATTAATGTCTTTGGATGTGCCATGAATCTTATTTCGATCATCCACAATAACGGTGGCACAATACAAGTATTAATAATAACACTTCTCCATTAATCCAAGTGGCAATATTCAAACATCATTGGATTATAAAATCATTGTTACACTATTATAATGATTGGAATAACAGTTACATATTATTCAACTATTGGATGTTGCAATGTCATATTACATAATTGGATTATTAGAATAATTAACAATGTGTTTGAATTAATATACTTGGATATAATTTAGTGGAACATTTAACTATAGTAATAATGTCCCATCA